ATTGACGTAGGTGTGATATTTTGTCCTATAAAACCAGAACCCAATGTATTCTTGTCAGAGCAACCCATTCCGTATGCTGACGGTTGGTTGTTCTCCTGTGATAATAAAACTCATCGTTTGATTGCACTTTTCCGGAGTCTCCGTCGTTTGTTGTCTGGTCTAAAGTTGATCGATCTCGCAGCAAACACTACTGTTATACCCCCCTCGGAACTACCAAAAGTCTCCATACAGCTGTTATTCATACTACAAGAGTAGACAGTAAAAAAGTTTTAAAAAGGGTTTACAACTGATAATAATTCATATTAGTTGACATAAGCATAAAACAATGTGAATATGGTAAGACATTTTTAAAAAGTTATTATTTTTCATGTTGCATTAATTGTTGTCATTTTATTCAAGAGACACTGGCTCTGTGTTGAAATTGACTCTTGTGGTGTTGCACTAACACTGCTCGTTTTTCTGTGTAGAAGTTACTCCGTGCTGCCATGATGTACTTTCCATGATGTTTATCTGTAGTGAGCTCAAGTTCAGAGACAAACCACATAACAGTTCTTGTTCAAAGTGATATGTAAATCACCTTTTTACAGCTGCTGTTTCTGTCACTTCATAAAATTTCAAAAACATGAGTGAATGTCAAAAATAAATAGCAATTTTACAGGAAAGGTTGAAAACAGAATAGACAAAGTGTTTACTGTGAGTGTATCTGCTGAGAAACTACACACAGATTTAACAACAGCAAAATCACTTCATGATTTTATTATGGAAATTTTAACAATAACCTGCAAAAACCAAGGTGAGCATGATTTAAAGTGAGTTTAATAACATATTGCAATATGGAGAGAACCACTCCTGTCAAACACTAGGGTGATCTCTGAATTGTGGCCGCTGCCCTTACATGTTATATAACCCATCACAGACGCTGTTAAACAAAGAACATTCCATAGCATATCATATATCTCTATGCCATCAGCCCCATCCTTTAACCTCCTGCCTCACAGACACAATTATGACCTTGTTTTCTGCTTGGCTGTCACCTCCCTAAGAGCAGGATGTTGGAGATCTTCAAGTATATAATGGACCTTCTGTGAAGGTGCAATAAAACTTGGGGCCCAGTTGTGATAAGATTCCACATGGATGCATACAATTGGTGTCAGGAGTGATCTGGCTATACTTAAGTGATATGATTAAATATGTTTGTAATACAACAGAAAAGAAATCTGCTTCCACAATTTCTAATGGTTCCTGTTGTTTGACTCTTTGTTGCAGTCTTAAATTCTTAGTTCATATTTTAAAGTTTAAGTTGCTATTTAGAGCGTCTGCTTTCTGTTTATCTCTGTTCTAGGAATGAGTCCTCTGTAATGTAGAGCATGTGGGTTTCAGTGTGAGTAGCTGTAGTCATCTCCCCCCACCTGTGTTTCCATCTGTTGCCTCCCCCTGTGTTGCTCTATGTTTGTTCACTGGACACTTTTGCTTTCTTGTCTCGTACATTTTGTCAAGGGATTACATTATTTGCTAATCATAACATGACTACTTTTCAAAAGAACAGATTTTTAGTGAAGAGTGACCCTCTGTCAGTATTAAGAGGTCATCGTCTATCAGCCAGAATACATATGAAACCACAGGGCTGAATTTAAACAGTAGCCACATTTATTGCAATAAATGCCCATACAGTTTCTTTGGAAAGTTATGAGAGTTGCAAAAATATATTTTAAAAAAAAACATATTATTAACAAAAGTTGATAATATGGTTTTTGATATTTCATGGTGCATTAAAAAACAGTCACTCAGCTGCACTCAAACTCAAGTTGCTGTTTTTTGTCATCTTTCAGTTGTGACATGTGTTTTAATAAAATACATTTTCCAACTGAAAAGTTCAACATTTATTTCTTCTGTAATTTATGTATGAAAACCACTGGCAGATCCACCAAATGTGGTGTCCCTGCTGTGATACTGAAATTAGCTCAGTCGCTAAACCTATCGGAGAAAAAGGCCCTTTAAATCACTATGGTAACAAAGTTACTTTAGTGAGCAGGCAGTGGGTCCATACTGGAGTAGACATCACTTGTGTGGCTCGTAGGTAGTTGCAGTCCGCTATAATGTGCTGGGAGGTTGTCATATATGGGGTCAGGGTTCACCTGAGGAGGAAGACACACAACATACTGGGTTAAGCCCTTTCTTTCCAAGTGTAACTTGGAAAGTGTTATTCACGCCTTTATTACTTCACGTTTGGATTACTGCAAACAGATGTGTTCCACTATAGAGGTATTGCATGAAGTATGAGAGATATCTGTTCTTGTGACAATAAAACTCAATTAGTCTGTTAGAAAAGTTCACTACTGCCTGTCATGGAATGATTGATGACCTCTTCTCCATTATAATTTCAAATGTGTCAAAAACAGCTGGTCTCAGGTGAACAAAGGAGGAGAGTTGTCAATTGATCACCACATGGTGCTGACTCGAATCAGGTGGTGGGGATGCTTGACAGGACTATACCAAACATAAAATGAGGTTACACTGGGAACAAACTCCCACCTCTGGCAGAATCCTGACAGCAATCCCACTAACATAGTATGAAAAAGATGAGCTACAAGTGGTGCAAAGTATCTTTCAAGTCGAGGTTGCGGAGCCACTACTCGCCCAAATCAAAAGGTACTAATTAGTACTAATTAGTCAGCAATAGTCTGACTAGGATACCTCCTACGTGGCTTCTTCCCACAGTGAGGATGCACTGGGGAACACCCAGGACCTGCTGGAGAGATGTGTGATGGCTAACCTGGGAATGCCAAAATGACCCACTGCTGCAAGAGCTAGCAGGGGATAGTTTGTTTACATGTCTGCCCTCTCTGTGACCCAACCCAACACAAATGGGAGAAAATAGATGTATGAATGGAGGAATTATGGATGGAAAAAAAGACGAGGACACAAGTTTAAGCACTGTTCTTGATAGATAACAAATGATTGAAGATATGAAGAAAAATAGAGGAGTTGATGTTTTACACTTGAATCCTGTCATGTACCTGCTCTTCATTGTTTGATGTTTCACTTCTTGCAAAGTCACTGGAAGTCGTCGTCATTCTAATTTAAAGAAAGGAAATAATTTTCAAATCAACAAGTGATTTCAAATCACAGTTTGAATATGATGAATAAAGCAAAAAAAAAGAAGGTGTATTTACTTAGCAGGCGATAACTCGATGGTTGAGTAGATGTCAGTGTTGTTTTTCAAACTGAAACGCAGCCTGACATAGTGATGACCATCCTGCTCATCCGATTCACCTGGAACGTTTTTATTTATGAAATCAGGAAAAATCTGCATAGACAAATAACATCACATTTTATTAATGTATATCTACATACATTTATATATAGAGGTTATAATTCACATGACGGAGAACAATACAAAGGCTAAAAATACATGCTTTTGGGTTAAGCAGGAATAGATTTATATGAAGAAAAACAAGGTGTTCAAGCGGCTTGTTTTATTTCAGCTGTTATTGCAGAATAATTTTTTGTTTCCTGTTTGGTACCTGCTGTTTGTTGCCTAATGTTTCAGCTCTTGAAGGCTGGTTAGAAATCCTCTTTTTTCTGAACAGATAGAAAATATATATATAATTAAAGCCATATCAGAAGAACATATTGACCTGAATGAGATCAAAGCGTTACTCACCTAACACACCAGCAGACAGTGAGAAGTATTAAAACCAGCAGAGCTGCAGAAACTCCTGCAGCTGCTGGTGTCCATGTTCCTGTGATACTTTGGACAGTGAGAGTCTTTGGAGCAGAGCTGATATCTTTGTTGGTTTTCACAGCACAGGAGTAGCTTCCTGCATCCTCCCTGCTGACTGGGTCTAGGATCAGATGTTTGTTCTGGTTCTCTCTTGGGGTCAGAGGTCGACTGTTCAAGTACCAAATGTAGTTTGTGTTGTCAGTCAGAGGACAGCTGGTACTGCAGGTCAGTGTGACTCTCTGACCCTCTGTCACCACTGCAGAAGGACTCATCTTCACTCTCAGCTCTGAAAGTAAAAAAAAATAAAAAATCATTATTTATGCACCATTTTCATTGATTTTTAATTGTCAAACTGAAAACATTTTGGAATGGAAATGCAACATTTATGGTTTGGAAATGTGGTTCTTGTGAATGTAGAGTTATAACAACAAACAAACAAACAAACAAAAAAAATTAGCCAGAAATGTTATTGTTCAAAATTCTTCTGACCTCATTTAAAGTTGACAGTTAAGAAGTGATGTATGCTCCTAGATTTCAAAGCGTTAAATGCTGAAATGATGAGTAATTGCTTTATAGCTCAAACAAAATAACAGTATCCAAATTGTTCAAATAAAAAAAAAAAAACACCAAAGTTAGAAATGGAAAAGACACATGAGTGCTTCTTCTAGAAAAGTAAAACATATTTTTTCCTTCATAATAAGAACTATTTTATACAATATGAAATGCATTTTTTTTCTGAAAGCTTGAATGATTTCAGTTTTAACCCCCTCGAGGCAGGCGTTGCAGATTTGCAACAGTTAAAAACTAACAACCTGATTAGCCCACATAGATATGTTATGAGTTTTTTTTACTCAGAAGTACCACTGCAGGACTTGGTTGTGCATTAGCAACAAAAAGTTTAATTTGAGCCTGAGAGGGTTAAGTGCAGGACTTTTTCTTTGTAATGAGCATTTGCAGTGCAGCATTGACATGTTCACAGCATCTGAATATTTCTTCCACCTCTGCTCCTGTTCAGACATTAATGAGTAAAGTCTGTTGAGTGAGGAGTTTAGATTTACCTGTGACAATCAAAAAGACTCCAGGCAGATCAGACTGTGTCCATCTTTCATGATGTTTGTTGAATCTGAATGTGTATCCTCCTGAGTCATTCTTCTTCAGGTTGTTGATGGTCAGGATGTGTTGGTTCTTCATGTTGTCCTGATACTCCACACGACCTGCAGCCTCAATCAGCTCTTCAACTTCCACTTTATCTTTTCTCCATTTTTTACTCCAACATTTAAACTCTGGCTTCATGTTATCAGGATGTGAGTATTCACTTGTGATGTTGACTGAAGATCCTTCCAGAGCACAGATTCTCCTGCTGACATAATTCACTCTCCAGCAGTTTTTATCCTGAACACCTGAAATATAGATGGAAGATTTAGAGTTGTTTGATTGGTCTGTATTCCAGCACTTGAGTTCATTATTAGTTGGCAACATAGATTTGAAACTTGCAAACTTCTGTAGATTGAAGATGTTCGTGGCCTTTAACTGCACAAGAGAATGTGCCTGTTGAAGAGTTATGAGTTGAATGATGTTGATTCTCATAATAGTTTATTTTGTTGTGATACCACATGTAGACAGTTTGATCATCAGTCAGGTTACAGCTGGTGTTACAGGTCAGTGTGACAAACACCGAGGTGAAAGAAGCTCTTTGAACATGAACCTCTGTAGAAAAGGGATAAACACACCTATTGTTACTATGTATAGATATATTCAAAGAGCTCATATAGTACCTATAAATGATAGTTTCAACAAATCTGACTAGAATTGATATTAACTGGAGATGTGTTTGTAGAGTGTGGAATTTTTACCTCTGGGATATGTGATGGAGTGCCGCTCATTCACTGATGTCTCATTGTGGAAAGAAGTGTTTCCATAAGTCACACTGAAGCATATCTGTGTGATAGAATCTGGACAAAAAGAAATTAGATTTAATATTTGTACTGAGGCCATTTTTACAGATTTTTGCTGAAGGGTTTGTAGCACAATAAACATCATGACTCACCCACAGAGACTTGAGGGGCTCTGAGATGCTCGTAGCCTTTGACAGCACAGGAGTATGTGACTGCTTCCTCACTGCTGAGCAGCTCTTGGTACCAGGGAGACCAGTCCTCATAGAGAAACTCTCTGTTCTTGTACCAGATGTAGGCTGCAGGCTTTTCAGTCAGAGGACAGCTGCTGCTGCTGCACATCAGTGTTACTGTCTGTCCCTCTGTGGCAGGAATCACCTTTACCTGCAGCTCTGAAAGGATGATGGATAAAAACTTTACAATGATGTCATTTGGAAAGTAATCAATGAGTAAAAGTCACTGTACCTGTAACAACTTGTAGACTAATTCTGTTGAGCCAACAGTTTCCTGCACTGTCTGTAGTCTCCATACAGCAGTAAGTGTTTGCATCACTCTCTCTTAGATCATTGATGGGTAAAGTTGGGTTTTTCCCTTTAGACATGTTGTATGTTACACGTTGTCCATCCACAGAGAGCTCACTCTGAACATACTTATAACCATCCCAGTATATAGTGAACCATTTTCTGCTTGAACTCAGATGTTGATGTGAGCAGTGCAGATCCACTGATGAACCTTTGAAAGCACAGATCCTGGTTTCTCCTCCTATAACACCTTTAGCAGAAACTTTTATCAGGAATCGAATTCATTGTCTTATCATTTTTACGTCAGGTTTTTTTTCTTTTCTTAGAATGTAAATAAAATTTTTGCTTTCTTTTCATAACAATGTATAAATAATTACTCATACCTGAAATGTAGAAGATGAAACAGACGAACAGATGTTGAAAATCTGTCAGCAACATGTTGGTTGAAGTCTTGTGTGCAAGCATAAAGTTGACAGTAAATATAAAAGTAGACAAGATTAACTCACAGGTTAAAATCGATTGAAAAACAGAAGGACTGACATGACTGTTTTTGTACAATGGTTTGGCACACAAAGCACCTTTGAAACTAAACATGAACGTCCTTCCTCTGTGGTTCTTTCGTTATCTGCAAGACAATCAATGTGGTTTTGCCATCTTGCCCTGAATATTTTAGATGTTCAAGTAACTTTCAGTTTTCAACAAAGTGTTTATATTATTTCTCTACATTTATATATGTATTTATAATTGTTTTCTAAAAGTCTCCTGCTCAAACCTGATGGAGTGTAAAAAAACAAAATGGTACAAGAGTCAAACGATTCTCCTGTCAAAATACTCATACAAATGTTAATGCATGTTAACAGCCTGTTAAGATAATAAAGACAATGATAATAATAATAAATAATAATAACAATAAATTATTAATACCAATGATGCACATTTTGAAAACATCACCATTATTGTGCACCAGTTTATCTTGTTCTGCTGTCTTACAGTTCCTGGCCTGCCCACTGTAGGCTGCCATTATCACAGCTCATGATCTCAGCAGCAGTCTGTGCTGCTGAGATCATGGACATTTGGTTAGTGCTTGCAGGTTATGTTTTCAGTAATATTTTCCACTGAACCCTATTATTATCTTTGAGTTAGCACGCAAAAGGACCACAGTTCTCTCTGCTAGAAACTGACTGCAGTCACAGCAGTGTACATACAAGTGTGTGTTTGCGTATGTTTGTGTGTATGTGTGTATGTGTGTGTTGCAAATGAAGTGCCATGTCAATGCTATGAAACATGTTCTGTTTCGGGTACATTACATTCATTCTGTTTGTAAGTGGAGAGGGTCTGAACCTTATTGGAGAAGCTGAGTGAGGAGGTTACATGTGCAAAGCTTATAGTCTGTACTTGTCACCATCGGAGGGGGAGCGTGTCATCTCCTACTACAGCTGCTCCCTCAGCACACTGGAGAGGAACTATTTTGTCACCCGTCGAGAGCTGCTGGCCATCATTCTGGGTCTCCGCCATTTCAGACCATACCTCTACAGAAAGAAGTTTCTTCTGCGCACAGACCATGCGTCCCTCACTTGGCTGCTCAACTTTAAAGAACCGGAGGGACAGCTAGCCCGGTGGTTGGAGACGCTGCAGGATTACCACTTTGAGGTTCGTCATCGGGCGGGACGTCTCCACACCAATGCAGATGCCCTTTCCTCCAGCTGGTTCATGGTGCGGCAGGGTCAGGACATCCTGGGACCCTTCCCCACCACTGACCAGAGGAACCGCTACGTTCCGGTTGCCCCGACCAGAGCGCTGTTACCACGGCTGAATGTCGGGTCAACGAGATGTTTTGCCGGTTCGGGGTACCAGAGGAACTGCACAGTGACCAGGGCCAGAATTTCGAGGCAGTGTTGTTCAAGGAGGTCTGTCAGTGGATGGGTATGAGGAAGACCCGGACGGCACCCCTAGAGCGGTCCAGGAATCTACGAAATACACTCCAGCGACCTTGATGTTTGGGCATGAGCTTTGTACCCCAGTACACTTGGTGTTCAGATCCTCCCCTGAGCAGGAAGGGAGCAGGGACCCTAGATTGGACTACCTCCAAAACCTCTGGGCCTGGCTACCGGAGGTGCACCAGTTGACCAGGCAGGCGCTCTGGGATGCAGAAGCGAGCTTATGATACCCGCTGAAAGGGGGAGGACTGTTGCTAGGTCAGCAGGTGTGGGCCTACAGCCCGGAGAGGAAGAAAGGGCTTTTCCCAAAACTGATGAGTCAGTGGGTTGGACCCTGCACTGTTCTCGAGGGGCTGTCCGATGTGGTCTAACGGAACAGGGTAGTCGTACTCCATCGTGATCGCCTGGCACCCTGTCAGCCCTTGAGTCCACCCATGGAGGGGTCAGGATCCCAGCTTCAATGGCAGGCCCCCAACCTGGCCTGAGAGACAGCTGGGGGACCAGCGGAACGTCCTTAATGATGTCATTGCCTTCCCCAACACCTCAGAGATTTTGCTATGGACATGCCGGTTGCTGGGGAGAGCTAACCACTCAGGTGGGGGCTGTCTGGCTTGTTGGGGGAGCGGCTAGTTATCTCCCATCATGCCTTGGGACATGTGCTGCTGTTAAGATGTTCTTGTTTTATTGTCTACAGTTACATGACTCTTAACTGTTCTCTTAACTGTTCTGCGGTACAAAGTCACTGTCATTGTTTGATGGAAAGAATGATTTATCATGAGTGAGTTCGGTTATGTGGTTATTGACGCTCGGAAGCACAGTGTAACACAAGCAAGTGTTTAATAGAGCTCCTCTTACCTGTTTGTTGTGGAACAGCAAGCTCAATAGCTGAGTGGTGCTTTGTTGCTAAGATTCATCTGCTCGCTACAATATAAATATATTTTGCCAAAATCTCAGGTCAAAGCTCACAAAAACTATTTCAACAACCACTAAAGAGCAAAAACAGCAAATAACAGAAGGTAAACAGATTCCACACAAAGATGTAAAGCGCGGATTGTTCACCCGACGGCACGTACACGTCGGTGCTGAAAGCTGAGATTCTGAATCTGCAGGTTTGGTCACTCTCTGACCAAAATTCCCATAATCAGCAGCAAAAGAAGATCAAAACTACGCTTCATATTTGATAAACATCATCATGAATTCCCTCTTACTTTTGCTGTTTTGCTTCCTCCACGATGAAATCACACTTCCTGCACAACTCACTCTCTCTCAAAGACCAGTTTCCCATCAAAAATCTGTTTTCTGCATTATTTGCTTGCTCATTACGCACCAGTCCACTGTTGTGTACAGACTGGTGAGCTGTTTTGTTCTGTTTTTTAAAAAATGACACCAAGAAGCCTGCCGTTGTGCTTTTCAATACTGAATAAATGTAAACTTTTGAGAATGACGCCAAAATTGCAAAAGGCTTAGCTGTGTCTTTAATAAAACCTCTGTAACTTTGCTCTGCTTCATTTCAGCAGCATCAGGCAATGTTCATATGTTGATTGATTGATGGTTTTCTTTCATTTTTGATCTACTGCAGAATATTTTCAAGGTTATCTGCTACAAGAAGATGTTTTTCTGTGTTTTATCCTCAGTTACTTTGACACAAAAGCATCTGCTGTGATGCTTACACATCTGATGAAGTCTCACAAGTGTCAGCTTTGTTTTTATACATAGATATAAAAACATAGATATGTACTGATAAATGATGAGAAATATAATATTTCTGATGGAGTCAACATTGAATCAAATCAAATACCCAGCAGCATTTAAGACCCTTTCATTGTGTGTAATTGCTCTCACTGTCAGAAGAGGGAGACAAAAGGCAGTTGACCTGCTAAAATGAAATAAAAAAATAAAAAAACATTACCATTCGCTGAATCTAAGCTGAGAATATAGCCACGTAAACTTCAAAATTAATCGTGCTACTTCTATCATCAGTGATATCATCAATAAATGTTTCTAAACTGGATCCACTAACAGCCATTCATGCCCATATGAATAT